CTTGGCTTTGCCAAACATGCATATGCTTGCCCCAACCTTCAAGCGATCCAACTTCTCACGAACAGAAGCCATGCCGTCGCCCGGCCGCTGCTCCAAAATGCCGCGGAGCTGCGCCAGGAACAGCTCTGCAGCGCTCTGGGAGGCACTTTGCGCCAGAACACCAAGCGTTTGATCAGCGCTGCCGTCAACTTATATGTGGCATGACAGTGTAGGCCAGCCCCACCGTGTGTTGCAAGCAGAAGGCGGGGAGCAAGGCGACCCGCTCATGCCGGCATTGTTTGCACTTGCCATGCATCAAGCGCTTGTCGCCCTGCAGCCGGAGCTCCGCCCGGAGGAGCGTTCCCTTGCCTTTTTGGATGACTTGCACTTGACAGCGCAGCCTGATCGCATACAGCCGCTGTTTCAGGCTGCGTCCCGGTGCCTGTATGAACGTGCCCGCATTTCCCTTAATCACGCAAAAAACACGTGTGTGGAACGCAGCCGCAGTCGAGCCGCCAGGCCTGGCGGACATCAGTGCAGCAGATGTGCGGCGTGGCAATGCTCAGCTCCCCGAGGCAGAGCAAGGGATTACCGTTCTAGGAGCCCCTTTGGGCGGAAATGCATTCGTGCGGGCCCAGCTTGACGCAGTGCGCAACAAACAACTTCGCCTCCTGCAGGTCCTCCCGGCCCTTCCTGACCTGCAGGTCGCCTGGCTGCTGTTGCTGTACTGCGCGTCGCCGCGGTCCAACTATGCACTTCGTATCATACCCCCAGAACTCACCGATCTTTTTGCCATTGAGCACGACGCTGCAGTGCAGAGATGTTTCAGTGCAATCCTGTTTGGAGAGGACGGGGGGGCGCTCCCGGACGCGGCCAGTCGGCAGTCCCAACTTGCCTTCCGCCATGGTGGACTAGGGCTGCGTTCAGCCCGGTTGCATGCACCCGCGGCGTTTTGGGCCTCGTGCGCTGACAGCTTGTCGGCGATCCAGCGCAGAGATCCCGACCTCGCGCAACATATTGTACGCCAACTTGAGCCGGATGTGCCTTGTTGCCGTGTCCTGGACACGCTCAAGGCAACCGTGACCCTGCTCGCTCGGCAGGGGTTTGCGGCCCCTCAGTGGCACCAACTCCTTGGCGACGATGCGCCGCAAGCACATGATGTTGAGGACGATGCCCCTGGCATCGGGCGGGGGCGGCAGCTCTTGACTTGCAAAGTGCGGCTGCCCACAGCGACAACTTGGATGCAGCCTCTGCAGCCATGCTGCTGTCCCAGTCCGGACCGTGCTCAGCCCAGGTCTTCTTGATGCCCCCCGTTTGCCCGGAGTTGATTTTGGAGCCCGCGCATTTCCGTGTGTTGCTGTTGCGACGCCTGCGCTTGCCCTTGCCTTTCGTCCCTGCGCGATGCCGGTGTGGCAGGGAGCAGGACGCTCTTGGGGATCACCGCTCTGCATGTCCGCGATCTGGTGTCTTGCGAGCACGGGGCGGCCCACTTGAACGGGCGGCAGCGCGCATTTGTCGTGAAGCAGGGGCCGTGGTTGCTATGCACACATTGGTCAGGGACCTCAATGTTGGCAGCGTGCCCGGAGATGACCGGCGGATTGAAGTCATAGCCAATGGCTTACCCCTGTGGGGTGGCATGCAACTTGCTGTGGATACCACGCTGGTGTCGGCCTTGTCCTCTACAGGTGCCCCGCGGCGCCACCAGAACAGAGCCGAGGGCGCAGCCCTGCGCCAAGCCCGACGGGCCAAGGAGCGCACATACCCGGAGCTCCTTCGCCCTGACTCGCGCTGCAGGCTGGTGGTCCTTGCGCTTGAGGTTGGCGGGCCCTTCAGCCCGGAAACCGTGGACTTCGTGCAGCGACTGGCGCGGGCGCGTGCGAGAAGTGTGCTCGTGTGCGCGGCGCCGTGTCGGCTGCCTTTGCCCGGCGCTGGTCCTCCTTCTTGGCCGCGGGCGCGAGCCGGGCGTACGCTGCCAGCCTCTTGGCCTTGCCCGCCCACTTGGCCGCAGGTGTCGATGGGCCGCCGCCCTTGGTCAGTGACGTGCTTGCTGACGGGGAGCCGTTTGCCGCGCGCAGCCGCGTCCGGTGAAGGGCGCCCGCCTGCACGCGAGGAGCTGGCCTCCGTAAAAACAGCGGCAATGACCTCCCGTGCCCGGAGGCGCCCCTTAAAATCCCCCCTGAAACACGTTGATGCCACTGCGGAAAAAGGCGCGCGCGCGGAGAAAAAAAAATCAGCGCTGACTTTGTCATCTACCCTGCGCAGACCGACACGCCGGCTCTGGCCACGTCGATCACAGAAAGGCCGCTGTCTGATACAGACTTCACCTGACCAAAGACAAATTGCCGAAACCACAAGGAACGCTTGGGTTGCCAAAAATGCTCAGGCTTGCCCCGACCTTCAAGCGATTCAACGTCTCACGAACAGAAGCCATCCCGTCGCCCGGCCGCCGCTCCACCATGCCGCGAAGCTGCGCCAGGAACAGCTCTGCAGCGCTCTGGGGGGCACTTGCGCGGGAACTTGAAGCTGCTGAAGAAAAGGCTGCCCACCAAGGCATCGATCAGCTCTGCGAAAGTGAGCCATCCCTCCCAGGATGCCACCGACACGCCGGCTCTGGCCACGTCGATCAGAGAAGGGCCGCTGTCTGAGATTGGAAGCGGACTTCAGCTTGAGCAATTCCGGCCTTGCCCGGACAAAAGGCGCAGCCGCGTGCCCCGGCTGCTCCAGGCAAGCAGCGCGCAGCTGCGCCACAAACACATCTGCCGAAAACGTAGCTATGGCAAAAGTACCCGCTTGCAAAGACTCTGTGTGTGGGTTGCGCTGCTCCATGCTTCGCGTTTTGCAACACGCACTGTTCTGCGATAAAGATACAAGGGAGTGCAAAACCACAACTCAATCAAACAAATCAAGCCTGCAACTGAGCGACAACCCATGCCAAGCATGCAGGTGCCATGTTGCAGCACGAGCCAGCAAACATCGCCCGGCCGCCTCATGCAAACCTCGCAGATTGTTTGTCTGTCCGTCTGTCTGTGTGCCTCTGCGTCCGTTTGGGATTTCGATCCAACATTTCGCTCGAATCCCAACGGCTCGGCGTTGAATCCAACGGCTTGCCGCATATTGGAGCAAAAGCCCAACGGCTTGAGCACAATTTCGATATCCGACGCGCACGATCCCTGCAAAGGGTTGCGAGAACGAGACAAATTCGCACAGCGCCACAGCGAGAGCGCTTCGACACACAAGATCCCTGTAAAGTGTTCGTCGGCGAAGTTGTAAATTCGCACGGCGCCACAGCGAGAGCACTTCGACACGCACGATCCCTGTAAAGGGTTCGTTGGCGAAGTTGCAGAAATGCACGGCGCCACAGCGAGAGCGCACGATCCCCGCAGAGGGTTTGTCGGCGAAGTTTCGCACGGCGCCACAGCAAAGCGATCCGACACGCACGATCCCCGCAGAGGGTTCGGCGGCCACGTAGAAAATGCGCACGGCGCCACAGCGAGAGCGATCCGACACGCACGATTCCCGCACGCCGCAGAGGGTTCGTCGGCAACGTAGAAAATTCGCACGGCGCCACAGCGAGAGCGATCCGACACGCAGAGGTAGATGGGAGACATTGCGCAAGGACACTGCCTGAAGACATAGCCTGGAGACATTGCGAGAGGACGCTGCACGAAGACATAGCCTGGAGACATTGCGAGAGGACGCTGCGCGAAGACATTGCCTGGAGACGCTGCTGGAAGGTGTGAGAGGACGCTGCCTGAAGACATAACCTGGAGACAATGCGCTTTACTGAAGATGAAGACATCATAGCCGGCTTATTAGATAGGCGAGCGAGCAACCCAGCCTGCGCTTCGCCGCCTCGAATTCTATATTGTTTCTTAGCCGGGGGGCAAGCTATGCAAGGCTAAGCTAAACGCAACTCAGCCTGCCTCAGCCATCCTTGCCTCTGCAATGGCCATGCAATCGCTGCGCAGCCGCTGTGCAAGCCAAGCTGCGCAATGCTAAGCTGCGCAAGTCAGCCTGCCTCAGCCATCGCTGCCTCTGCAATCGCTGTGCATTCGCTGCGAAGCCGCTGTGGAAGCCAAGCTGTGCAATGCTGGGCTGTGAATGTGAAGCTGTGCAACCAGCAGCCGTTTTTCCCAAAGAACTCTTCGCTTCCGCTTTCGGGAAAAAACAAAAAAACGGTAGCCAACTGCGTACAGCAGTTCTCGCAGACATAGGAGAGGGCCAGCGCCGCTATGCTCGTGATGCTGCACGGTGCATTCCCTGCATCTTCGGAGGCAAGCACTTGCTGAGCTTCGTGACACCTATGACCGGAGCGTCGGATGTCCGAGCCTTCCGGGGCACCGTGCATCGACCCTAGCGTCAGCCGGAGTTAATGTCCGCCTGCCGCCCGACTCGCTGCTTGCTAGCTGCTAGCTTCCGGCGAGTTCACAAGGGGCGCTGGGTAGCCGACTTTTATCGTGTCATCCTAGTTGACGAATGCGCGCACCTGTTTTTTGGTGGTAGCCGCCCGGGTTTTGTTTGCCTAAACCTATAACACTGCCCCCTGCCATCGCAGCGGCTTTTGCCCATGGGCGCACGGTGGCAAACGTTGTGACACGGTTGTGAGTGACTTTCCTCAACTCCTTTGCTTCGAACGCATTCAAAGACAACGCGCGACGAAGAGCAAAATTGTTCCCAGCTGAAAGATATAGAAAGATGGCTTCGCAATGTCCACTGCAAGGCACTTGAAATCATGGCCCAAATGATTCAAACCGATGTGAAACACACCAGGGGTTGCACTGATGCTGTTCGCCGACACCTTCCAAAAATGCAATGGGACACCCCCCTCCCACACCTTCCCTTCTCATGTATGGGGGGATCTGACCTCTGGCTGGTTCGGGTTTTGCAACTTTCTGCAGATACACGTTGCCCAGGCCAATGTGTCCTCTTTGACATGCCAGCCGGGCCAACCAACATACGGCAGATAAGATAGTGACATCCAACAGACAGTGCAGATCAGGCAGTCGAATCATTGCGGTTGAAACAGAGCCTGCATGGTGCATTCTTTCGCTCGCATCAGCCATGTCTTGTTGCGGCGCCAATGTGACACCTTTGGCCCACTATGCAAGGTCAATGGCCAGAGAAATTGATGAGGTACCCATGCACTTCCCCATGTACACAGTACCTCTGGGCGAGTTGCTGGACATGACCGTCATCGAGCCCCACGAGAAGCTCAAGGCCAGAGATGCCCTGGTCGAGTTCAACAGCACCATGGGCAGGGCAGCATTTGTTTCACACCAGTGGGTCACCACGGAGCACCCGGACCCAGAGTGCAAGCAGATGAGGGTGTTGCAGAAAGCTCTGAAAGACATGATGCTGGGCAAAAATCCCAGGATACCTGTTGACCAGGTCTCAGAAATTGTAGATCCACATGCCAAGCCTTTGCCGGCTGCGAGCCTTTTTTCAAAGCCCTTGTTTTTCTGGTATGATTATTGTTCCTGCCCGCAGGGAACCAGGCTCAGCAGGATTTCCGATGAGCAAAGTCCCGGAAGCGGTTTGCTGCATGCCATCAACAGCATCCCGGCATATGTGGACAAGTGCGCCTTCTTTTTTGGTCTTATCCCCTGCATGGAGACTCCGAGTGGAACTGATTTCATCTCGCCGCTGACGTGGCAGGAGAGGGGCTGGTGCCGTTTGGAGAGAACTTGCCGGGAGTTGTCTCTGCATGATTCGTCCTGGGTCATGGTAAGGAGCCCCTCAGACCTGGAGATCGTTTCAGGGACGAATCTCTCCGCACGTTTTGGCGCCGGACCGGTGGGTGAAGGTTACTTCAGCCTGCCCGAGGATCGGTGGAAGCTGCGACCGGTGCTCATAGCAGCCATCAAACGCAAGATTCTCAGCCTCCTCCAAGCCCAGGATTGGCCGAGGTATCGGTCCTTGCTGAGCCAGCAAGCCATGATGCTCCGAGGCTTGGAGTCCGAGTCCGAGCCCCAGTTCGAGCCCCTGGAATTTGACCCCGACTCGAATCGCGACTTTCCATCAACCTCGAAGTTCTTCCACCAGAATGGTTTCCGCGGAATTCGGGAGACTGACGCGGGTGGATGGTCGCCACTTCACTATGCCGCATTGGACGGGAACCCATCACTGGTTCAGGAGCTGCTGACTTTGAAGGCAGATCCGAACCAAGGCACCAAGAGAAGCCACCCAGACCTTGGCTTCGAATGCGGCACCTCGCCTCTTTGCATCTCTTGCCTTTTCAAAAGGAACGATGCAGCCCGCGTGTTGATCGCGGCGAAAGCCAGAGTCGCCTGCCGCGGTCTTGTTTTCCAACCTCTCACTTGCGCAGCAACCGCAAACAACGCAGAAGCGATCAAACTCCTGTGCGAAGCTCGATGCAACCTCCTTCAGCGAACTGGTAAATGCCCTGATGTCAGCGGCCTATTCCGGAGGTGTGCAAGCTATGGATGAGCTCAGACAGGCAAGCACGTTCAATCCCACTGAAGCGGTTTTCGCGTTTTCCATCTCAGCAGGTGCTGAGACGGTGCGCTGGTTGGTCGGCATGAATGCCGATGTCAACGATCAAACTTGTCGCTTGAAGATGGTGAAGTCCATGCTTCTGCATCGAGCAGTCGGGTCCTTCCTGACTTTGCAGCATCGCCTGGGCAGAGTCACAAGCGCCAGCACTCAATACTACCACTCACCAGGTGCAACCCCTTTGATGATGGCCATATTAATGGGAAACTATGAATGCGCTGCAGCCCTGATAGCTGCTGGAGCGCAGCTCCACCTCCGGAATTCGAGGGCGTGGACTGCGGCAGACTTTGCCAGATGGCGTTCCGTGCCCGAATTCCTTCAGGAGGCCTTGGAAGGAAGAGTGGAAGCGTGCCAACGGGTGTCGTTACTGACAACTGGTTGGGTTGAGATGCGGTTTTGAGACCTTCTGAGTCGTCTTGCGTTGTGCCAGGAAATTGTTTGAAATGCATTACTTGCACACTTCGCGACAAAGCGAAGTGCTCAATGCCTCCTCAGATGATTGCAGAACAGTTCCAATGGTAACTCAAAGAAGGGCTTGAGCTGGAGCCGGTCCTGTTACCCATGTGACTGACTGGGTCAAAGATCCCGCATGTTTCACAACAGATCGACTAAAGTCGATATGCGTTCAGCTTTACGATTCTGAAGCATGGAACAAAGAGAGGTGCGCTTCAACCCGGGACTGTTTTGTCCGGGCACATACATTATATATACATATTATATCTATATGTGTGCTTGTATGAATTGGGGTACCAGTATGTGATCTCGTGGCCTTAAAGCCATGGCATATGGACCACCAGCACTCAAAGTTATGCCAAAGGCCCTGCCTCTGCGTTCGCTCCAGACCAATTGGGGTTCCTGGATACCCGAAAGAAGTACACTTGAAAATGGTTGACCTCATCGCATCTTGGGGGCAACGAATTTTGATGGGTAGCTTGAGGGTCCAGGTGTGCATTAGATCACCCATGGTTTGGACTGGTGGAGTTGGAGTTGAACCCCTTCTGGGTAAATGGGCCGGAACACCAAACTACGCTCCCAAGTGAAAGGAACCCGGAAAAGTTAATCCCCAAGAGTGCAGAGTTGACTTAGTTTACGTGAAATCAATGATTTTGTTGGCGCCCACCACGTGGTGACTCGCAGCCCACCATTTATTTGCGGCGGGCCCACCATTTGCTTTAGAGCCGGCAAAACATGTTGGCTCACAGTCATTCAAACAGATTCCGGCAAAAAGTGAGGCTTGCGCAGCCATAGCAAACCCCATCAACACGATGCGCCAGCAGCAAGCTGGGTTCAAAAGCTGTGCATCGCCCCGTTTCCACAAGCAAAATGCAACGTTGCTCCATGCAAATCAGTGGGGCAGAGAAACGGAAACTGGCATTGCATGGCATTCCTACACTTGTCACAAAGGTTCAATTGAGCTGCTCAGTTCCTATGCCATGGTGAGACATGGCGCCAAGGGTGGGTTCGGAGCCTTAGGGAAAATAATTACCAGATTGCGTCGCTCCCCTCTTGGCCTGGATTTGTGGTTTGGTGGTGGAGGGGTTGTCCATTTACCCTCTACAAGCACCAGGGGTTCAACTCCAAATCCAAAACACCGGGCTCCAATCCGCTAGAGCCTCGGAAGCCTTCGACAGGCCGCGGATGTTTTTTTTTTTTTCTAGGCCCGGCAGCTTTGCGGGTGGAAAGCAGCACCGTGGAATCCGCGGGCCTAGGGCTCTTCGCAGCGGAGGAGGGGAGGAGGGACGGGCAGTTGAATGGTTTGGCGCTCGTGTTTCAGTTGGAAGCTGGTGGCCAGGTCATGCATGCATGTTTTGTGTTCTTCTTTTTTTTTCGCATGTCTTCATTCAGGTTGCCAAGTCCTGCTTTTTGGTACGTGCAGTAATGTTCGGCAATTCGTCCATCCAGCGCTTGCTCTCGAGGAGCTGCCGGAGTATGTGGTCATTGGGGAGTACAGCGGGGAGGTGAAGGACTATGCGTGGCGCCTGGTGATACAAAACCTGCTGGTGCTCAGGGAATGAGGGATGAACCCAGGGCTCCCCTCAAAGCTTTAGGAATCCACCAGTTGGATGGTCTATAAGTCTATAAGGTCATTCCCTCATTCCCTGGGCACCAAGACAAGCTGCTCGTCAGTTTTCTGCTTCTCGACTGGCTCCTAGGCTCGCTTCGGCGAGAAGGTGGCTCGTCTGGGTGCCGGGCTCAAGGGCCCATGAGCCGGGAGCCGGGGGCGTGAAGACTTCGTGCGGAGGTCACAACGAGCTGCATCCTTTCTACCTGAAGCCTGGCTTGCTGGTGCCGCGCCCAATTCGTTTTGAGAATGTTGTCCTTCGGCAGTGTGGATTGCAAAGAGATGCGGTTGGGTGTGGGGCTGTGGGGCGTTAGGTCCTTAGGTTGTTCAACTCATCAGTCCAAACGTTGTCATGAAGGCTGAGCCAATACAGGTCATCAGCTACAGTAATTACCACCGACAGAGCTGCAAATTGGCAGGTTGACCCAACTGATGAAGAAGGGCACCTGGATCCAGCATCCTTGCCCCGCACCCAATGCCCTTCGAAATGCATGGCTGCTGAGTCGGCAAGTTTGGCCCCTCAACAGCTATCCAATGGTTTGTCCAGTGAACCTGGTGCTGTCGCGCGGTCGCGCGGTCGGGCTCAGTGTACATAGCGCCTTCGGACCTTGGATCTGCGATTTGAGACCCGACTTGCCTCTCCCCTTCGCCTCCGCCAGGCTGCCAGGCCAACTCAAGTCAAGTGGGTTTCCTCTCCCAAGCTTCTTCTCCGGACGCAACCGACAGTACTTGGCTGCTGTTGGGTAACGGATCTTTAGACTTTAACTTTTTGCAAAAAGTTACACTTTTTGCAGGGGGGTCAACCGCAATCAAGAATAGAGGCACCTCCGCGAATCCAAACCAATTTCCGTGGGCGGATTGCCCATGGCATCATGGAGCCCAAGCGGCGGCGCCTGGAGCCTGACAAGGCCTCCTGGCTGTCGCTGCTCAAGGTCCGACTGCCGCACCGAGAGCGCCTTGGGACGAACGCTTCCCCTAAGTGCGATGCGTGGCTCCTTTGAATGAACCGGAACCCTTTTTCCGTGCTTTGTCATCCCCTCTTAGAAGGGAAAGAGCCCTTTGTCCTTTTTTGATGGTCCCCTTTGTTGGGAAAGTGCCCTTTTTACTTCACGTGGCAGTGCTATCGCGGGGATTTGTTGAAACTGCGCATTTGTGGCTGTGACTCGAATTGATTGGCTTGACATGATAAAACAAGACAGTTTAATCATTTTGACCTGCTGATAAAGCATGACAGGCAACCGATCACATGTAGTGAGCCAAGACGATGAATCACCCGCTGTGCATTTGGCAGGTCGGCGCAGGAAGCCCAATCAAAAGTTGAACTAGTCCCAACGTCCCAGTCAGTTAAGTCATTCTCCTGACGCCTTCCAACCCGCTGTAGGGATCGCACAAAAAATGGAGAGGTGACATCTGGGCGGCGGGCGTGTCTTCTTTATTTTTTATAAAAATGTTGGTTTTCCTTTGGGCTTCCCTTCAAACCCGGCGAAAAAAAGGGAGGGGTGGCCCAACCAGAGACCAGCCCTCCATGTCTTCCCCCTGCCTTCCCCCCCCGCATTTTTTCCGCGGTCCTCGCGCGGACCGCGACGCCCAGCCTGGTTTTGGCCACGGACTGCGGGGGCGGCGTCGGCCCGGCGAGCGCCCTGCGGGACCTCGGGGTGCCGATCCGCCACATCTTCGCCTGCGAGTCCGAGGAGTCCAGCGACAGGGCCCGAAAAAGGGCGCCAGGAAAAAAAAAGAAGAAGCAAAGCGGAGGGAGGGATGGGCGTGTTTTTTTTCTTCTTTCTGGTTTTCCCCCTCCTTCGCTTGAGGGGGTGCATGGATGGCATGGAATGGAATGGAATGGAATGGATGGAATGGATGGATCTTTTTGTTCACATCCGGGGTGGTTCCTTTTTGTTGATAGAAATCGACCCCCGCACCGCCTACCACAAGCACAAGAAGACGTGTGCTCACTTAAGGTGGCTCCTTCTTTTTTATTTTGGGAGTTGCACCCCCACCCCCTCCCAACAACAAGAAAGGTAGGTTCTTTGATGGATAGGTGTGTTTGCTTTCGGGGGTTGGTCCCTGTTTTTTGGAATCGAACCCCACCCCCCCACCCCACCACCACCAACAAACCTTTAGAGCCGGCCAACAAAAGAGGTAGGAGTTAAAAAAGATAGACCCACTTGAATGGACCGGCCTTAGGCGACGGTTTCCCAGGGCTTTTCCTCCATTCCAACTGGAACTGGATTTGTCCACCCACGGGGTTGATCAACCAGGCGAAGGGGCATGTTGGGTGTGTAGGGTATGTAGGGTGAGCTGGGAATCTGGGAGGTAGGGTTGAACCCGACGTATTGCAGGACAGTGAGGGAGCCGTACAAGGGGGAGGGAAGTTGTTCTTGCTCTCAAGACCTCCTACATCCAACTAGTGGTTTGGGGATTTGAACCCGTCTTTCTTGAGAACCACCGGGCTACCAGGGAAGCTGACTTTTCTGTTCCCCAGACGTAAGGTCAGCAGCTATTGGCCGCTCAGCAGTCTCGGCCGGAGCGGCTCTTCGGGAGCATGATCGGCAGAGACCGAGGCGCAACTCCTCACTCGCCGTGAGTCGATTGCCGGAGTCGGGAGTTTGGCATGTGCCGTCAAACGGTCGCGGCAGCCACGCTGTGAAGCACTGGGCATGAAGAAACGGCCCATAGTCCACGCTGGCTTCTAGATGTGGATGTCGAGCAGTCAACAATTTGGCGTAAAGGATGCAGTCATAGTCCTTTTCCAGTCAGCTAGCTGCTCACGTCGGTGAGGCTGCTTTTGCCTGGTTTCTGGCCGCTGGATGCCCATGCCGACGACACAACCTGATACTTGGATGATGGGATCCCGCCCGGCCGTATCCCAGCGGTTGAGAGTGGTGCGTTGGTTTGCAAAATCCCGACCCCCTTAAATATGGAATTGTCGGGGGAGGGGGGGGGTGACCCTGGAATTCCATTTGTGGTTCCTTTTCCTTTGTAAGTTGAAGACTAGATACCTGGAATTGGGGACCCCCCACCCCCCTCTCCCTTCTGGTAGGGGGATTTTGCAAGCAATCCCAGGGAGCCACACCCAAGGACATCTACATTTCAAATGCCGGGACTCATGGGCCAAACCCGGACCGATTCTTCGCAGCGGTGAAGTACATCATGGAGTTCCGGCCCCGGCTGGTGATTCTGGAAGATCTTGTGGCTGCTTGCAGAGAGGACAGGCAAGCTGCGTCGTCACCAATTTTTTCTTACCACCTAAGGGGCAAAGGTAGCATCTTGTTTGGTTCCCTTGCTTTTTTTTGGCTCCTCCATTCCCTCTCATTTGGCATGGAGGGAGCTGGTGACCTTGCATTTGTTTGTCCAGGCTGGGGCATGCGTGGGATTTTGCTTCTCTCCCGGCTTGCTCGGGCTTCAGGACCCGCAGGGGAACCTGCCCGCGGACGCCGTGCTGGCGCTGCTGGAGCAGGTCGGGGGCTACGAGGTGGACCTCTTCCATGCTCCGCGGCATCGATCTCACGCTGAGAGAGCGGCCTCTCAAAGCCCACCTTGGATCTTCCCACACGTTGGTTCCTCGTGGGATCGCTTGAATGTCTTTCTGCTGGTGCTGAGCTTGCACTTGTCATGAACGAACGTGGCATTGACCTTGAGGTCTTCGCCTCTCATTTCGGGCTTCCACAGCGACGGCAGCGGCTGTATTATGTCTCATGGCTTCAGCAGCCGATTGTTTTCACTGTGATGCTTGCGTGGGCAAGTCAACGTTGCCCGATGCACAAAGCTCAAAGCTGTGTGCTCAGGTCATGGTCAGCCGCGAGCATTTGAAGAGCGAGAAGGCAGGCCAAAGAGAGCAGGGCAATCAACATACATCAACCCAGACCTTGCCGCGAAGCGTTGCACAGCCTTGCTGCAATGCGGTTGCGACCATCGTACAGCTTCAGAGAAACGCTGAGACAAGCCATGGAATGTTCGTTGTTGACAGCTGTGTCCAACAGGAGGGTAGCCAGTTTTCAGATGCCTGCCAGGCTCTAGCTTTGCATATTCGAATTCCGAAATTCGCCTGGGAATGGCAATCAAATATTGGAAGCAGTAGGCAGCGGGTTCCTTGTCCGAAGCGGAGGAAAACAGCGAGCCATCCCTCAGCGCCTTAGGTGCCGGATCAAATCCGCCAAGCACTTGAGCGGCTCAAGCTACATGCCTTCAGCACCACAGATGCGGAAGACGCCCGGCCTGTCGAATAGCCAGCCCCTTTTTGGCAACCCCGACGCCGGGGGGGGCGTTCGAAAGGTCCCCCCACTCAGTACTCCTTGGACGTGTGCAACAAGCAAGCTGGGGCAATTGAAAGGTGTTTTTTGGTTTTTTTTTTTTAAAAAAAATGAGCTGCGGTGGATCACCAAGAACTCGACCATGGCAACTCAGAACTTGGGACTCAGACAGCCCTGTGAATCGATCCATTCCTAGGGGGCCGGAAGGCTCAGGATCAGAACTGTGCAGCCAGTCCCCGCTCGCAAAGAGTTCCAATTCCTGAAAGCTGCCCGGTCTGAACCCCCCGCTTCAAAGATGTGTTTGCAAAAAAGCGACGGGTGCAATACTGCCAATGCTAATTGGAATAGGCCAGTTCTAAACCAATATTCCCAGACAACATGTAATTGGGGAATATATACAAGCATTCGACACGTTTGGGGGATAAATGCATGGATTGTCTGGTACTAGCGGTTTCTCCCACCGATCTCTCCTCCAGTTGCCCTTTGCCCCCGGTCAGCGGGCACCAACTTTGAAACGTTTGAAAGAGCAGGTTGACGTTGGTTGACAGCCCAAAACTGGAACCTAATGGTAAATCTTTCTCCCCAGAATATGTTGTTTCATTTGGGCGGGGTGGGGGGACTGGATAGTGCGGGCCAGATTTCGCACCAGACGCTTTGCAAGATAGCGAGGCTTTTTCTGGTCGCCTTTCGCAGTGCACGGGCGTCACGTGGCATCCTGAAGGGGTAACAGGCCGAATTGCATTGGTGGTACGTACGTGAGATACGCACGTTTGAGAGTGCGAGGGGCTGCAACCCAGAGCAAATCAGTTTGACCTAAGCCCACCCTAAACCAACCCTACAACCCACCCGAATTTGAAAGCCCAAGCCCAAACAGGATCGAGTCTGTCTCTTTTTGAACCAAGGGAGGTCAGCAACGAGGTTCCACCACCTAGGATCTGCAGAGGGCCCCAAGCAAAGTTCATCAAAAGCCCATGGAATGCAACAAATTCCAAATGCAGATCTGTCCGGACATTCTTGGGCCGAGGTGAGAACTTGAACAGAACTGGGCCATACGTGGTGCAAAGCCCAGACAGGAGTATTACGTTTCTGCTGTTTGCTTTCGGCCCGGCGTCAGGAATGCGTCAAACGGGCCCGGGTTACCCCAAAGCAGGGCAGCAAATTTGTTGGCTGTTACTGCGGCCAAGGAGCTGTTGGAGGCAGCGCTGGATCCGGGAGATGTCAGGATAGTCTGCCAACTTCCCCATGTGCCACTTTGACTGCTTAGCACTTCTTTTGTTCCCAAACTGTGAATGGGCTTTGTCAGAAACATGCGTCCTATGCGTGCTGTTTCCTGCTGTCCTTTGCGGGTTGCCTCTTGCGGACTCGCATATCACGCTCCGTCGCTTCGCAGGACGGAGCGTGGCGTGGACTCCTTGCTGTCCATGAGCTCTGACGTGCCTTCGGCTGGAGAAAAACTGGGCCTTGCGCGCTCTCCCTGGCGAAGTTGCATGCATTTGTTGGTGATTTTGTAGGTTTTTCTCCCCGAAGTTGGTTCTGCCCATGAAGCCAGCAATTCGGCCACGTCCTTTCCATTTGTAGATGAAGTTGCTGGGAGGCGACTTTTCTTAATCTCGACCTGCAGACTCGATTCGTCCCAATTTGCAGCTCTTGTCGTTCTTGTTGTGGCGAAGTAGCATTTGCTCCGATGGGAAGCAACAGCAAAACGGTTGAGGCCTTGTGCTTCCCACTGCTTGTCCGTGGTGATGCTTCCGCTGGATTGCTGAGGCACCACAAATTGAGTGTTCAATGAAGTGATGGAACGTGCAAGATGACTTGAAACAAAAGAAACTTCCTGACCCGGTGTTTCGGCGAGACTTTTGCCTGTAAATCGAGAGGACAGGCTATGTTTTGCCCGCAGAGGTCCAAACTGACCAGAACCATATTCAAAGCCCACTTTCCAGCATCCGCGCCCCTTTCAATGGATGGGCAGGAGCGGCATGTCCCACAACATGGGGGGCAGGCTGGACGAAACATCTTTGGGGTTCCGGCAGCCCCCTGCGCCAGAAGGTAGGGACATTGGCTGCCAAACTTACTTCTTGATCCAGTGACAAAAGCGGTTCCCAGAAATGGCCAACCTTCTATTTGCGGGTGTGGTTTACCCTTGGCCGGTTCTACCAGGCCCTTGTTTGTGTTCCCTTAAGTCAGAGGAAAAACGAAACCATGGCCACGGGGACACCGACCCATTCCGGGGTTTCAAACCAGGAACCCGGAACCCGGACGCAAGGCCAGCTACCTGCACCGCCGTCTGCGACATGAGCTCCACCTGGGCGAGGACGCCGCCTACTTCGCACTCGCTGGGAACCACCTCGCCAGGCCGCGCGTTTCCGCGGCTCAAGCAGCACCAACAGCTGGGAGGTGTCCACATCAAATCGCTTCACTCGAGATGGTTGACACCTCAAGCATGTGAGTGCCAGTTGGAAGGGCCCGCGTGAGCTTGGTGCTGAGAGGCCTTCTCCTGGGCAAGTCATTCATCACATTTCATCACACACCCGAAAATCAGTTTGGATGGGTGCCCCCTGACACCGGGCCGGCGAATTCAAGTTCAACTGGCCTTCGGGGGCCCTGAACCAGGTGGCTTCGCAGCTACCGCGAAGCAGACCTCTGCCAGATCCACTGGCTCTGGGCCCAGCGTCAGAACAGAGAGATCCGCTTCGTGTCCATTTCGCAGGACGCGTCCTTGAAACGAACCGTTTTGAAGATGTTGCAGCAGCTGAAGTGCGCCATGAGTTTGCCAACTGGCCCGACTTGGCACGACTGGGCGCCAGAATTGTTGAGGGTGTGCCTTTGCAAATTGAGCGCTCTCTTGCTGCCTTGTTAGACGCCCCTCCAATTTCCAAGCCTCCCCGCCAACCCCCCCCCCCCGCCTCCAACCTCCCACCCCTCCAGCCCGGTGGCCGAAGCCACCGGGCGAACCAATCCAACCCGAGCCTCGGCAGGACGTGCACCGCGCCTCCCTGAGCTTTACTGGGGAGGTGCCGACACTGGCGGCCAACACCCGGCTCTGGTCCTACAGGTGCCTTTTGGATTCGGCTTCGGACCCAGTCCCATGTTAAAAACCGGCTTTTGTTCAGGGGACTCCCCAAGATGGTGGTATTTTCGTGGTGTATTTTCATTGTAAGAACCGTTCAACAAGCGTACCCAAATTGGGGTTCCGAGGATTCCCTTTCAGGGATTGGAATCCCTGCATTTCCCTTCTTGGAGCCTAAGGGCGAGGATAGCTCAGAAACCATGTGTTCATGGAGTGGCTGTTGCCCGATGTTTGGAGGCTGCAGCGTGTGCTAAGCAGCCGCGAGATGCTCACCCTGCAAGGCACTGGGCCATTAGCCGGTAGGGAGGTTGGTCACTTGTGAACATGGGGGCCATGAAGATGTCCAGGCTGAGTGTTGCTCCATCAAAGTGAATTTGCACAGTGAGGCATCACTGCCTCACTGTGTGCTCGAGATGCTTACTGCTACTAGGTTGAAGCGGTGAACGCAGGTCAATCGGTGACAATTGGCACAAGGACCTAAAGTCGATGACGAACGGTTGCCTAACTCCACATGGGCCACCCAAAATGACCTCCAACTCGATAGCAGAGCTTTTGCCTGAGGAGCAGTGGCACGCGCATGTCTGTGTGTCCCGCAAGAGGTTCACCATGTCTCACTTGATGCATACGCAGGTTAAGATCCGCTAGAGCCTCTTCCGGTCAGCTAAAGCCTCTTCCGGCCATTGAAAGGAACCGATTGTGCCCTTGTTATCTCCGGAGGGCTTGTCATTTTGAAAAGTTTCGGCCTGTTGTGCCCTGGTTCTTCCCAAGTCCTGTCGATTGTGCGGCCAATTCGTGGCATGTCGTGGCAGAAGGGAGGCCTCCCAGAAGAGCCCGTCTTGGCGGGTCTTGCGAGGCTTCAAGCCGGCGCAGTGGAACCTGGAGTCCCTGTCCGAAGCCTCCCTGAGCCGAGTCGCCGGCAGCGCCATGACGGTGCACATGTGCACCACTCAGACAGCTTTGATCGTACGTTCCACCCCCCCCCCCCAAAAAAAAAAAAAAAGGATCTGACCTTTTTTGGTTTGCCCATAGCCCCAAAGGTTAAGCTTTAGTTCCTTCCCGGTCCTTTGGCAACTGAGAGTGATTCGGACCCATGAGGGGGGGCTACTTTTTTATCGGCCCCGAACAGTCACTAGTCCCTTGGCTGCAATAGCTCCCATGAGTATAGGACTTTGGCATGCCCCCAACACCCCAGATCAGAGGCGCTATTCAGTCATTCCATAAGTCTGCTGCACGGTTTTCTGCGCAGGGTGCCATGCTTGCTGTCTGCCGCGTAAGCTAAAACAGGTTGCGCAGGCAAATCGTTCGCTCGCACGAAAGCAGACTCGCACGACATAGGGAGTCATTTGAGCGTGCTTATTGCATCGTATTGCCGGAAAGGTGCATGAACACCAAAAACTGTAGGAATCCCATGCACTGCTCAACCCTCCCCCCCCACCCACCCACCCCCTACCCTCTGTGACCGTTGTTTTTATTGGGACAAACCCCCCGGCGACGTAATCCGGCGGCTCCGGCGAGGATCGCGGCGCTGCTGGCGGCGGCGCTGAGCGCGGTGCGGCTGGAGGAGCCGAGCTGCAGCCAGCGGCGGCGCAGCGTGAGCCTGGCCGAGCTGCGAAGCAGGCGGGTTGGTGAGGGGGGGCCCGGGCGTTGGGGGTTTGGGGGGGTGGGTCGGTGGGGTGGGTGAGCAGGGTGGGTGGGTGGGGCGGGGGTTTGGGGGGTGGTTGAACCGTCTAGTTGCTGGTACAAATCCAGCCGCACACCAGTGTCAGAGCAGAGTGTGACTTGAAAGCATATAGGTGATGTGGATCCTGATTGGCTAGAGGGGGGTTGGAATGTCGCTTTGCGCCGCTTGGTTTCTTGCCCGCGCTGGCCTCAGTGTTTTTTTTTGAGTTTGAAACGCACTTCCGGAGCCACGCTAAAGTGGACCTGCCCGCGGCATGTGTAGCTTGTAGCCTGAGACCCTGCAAGCCAAATTGGGCGGCTTGAATCCACCATGGCATTTCTGTCGGCCCCTTTCCAGAGAAAATATTGAGGGCTTCTCCAAGTTACTTTCGAGGGTTGCCCTTCTTTTGCCACCGTGGCGCCATGGGTATTTTTGAGGATGCCACTGACCCAGTCCTGAGTCTGTGTCTCAGGTACTCGGCCATTTGCCAGCGCCTGCATGGCGTGCGTCGCCATGCGAAGCTTGGGGCGTGAGAAAAGCCCACGTCGGACCCTGGCGTGCCATCTCCTTCAATTTCGGGGCGGCGGGGGGTTGGGGGCGCTATTTGTACTAGTGTTTTCGGGGGGGGGGAGGGGGGTAGAAACGACTTGTTTTGTCGAGTCTCGCCTCCACGGCTTTGGCAAGAGCTTGCCCCTGCTTCAGGCCAGCTAGAATTTGAATTCCAAGTTATTCCATCCAAGTACTTGCTCCAACCGGCCGGTTTTTTCGGGCTTTCGCTTCGCTGGAGGTCAATGGCCTTCACCAACGAGGCCCCACCCGGTGGACGGCCCGGGGCCACAGGACGACTCAATTCCCATGGAGAGGTGGGGTTCCCCGCAAAACCAATCGAGTGGGGACGACAAAAAGACAGGCACCAGGTCAAGCACGACTTGGGAATGGCTTGCATCGGTTTGGATCATGGGGCTGGCCACAGAGATGTCAAAGCGCAAATTGTGAAAAGGTATCAATTGCAATTGCCAAAGGTACAACGTCTTGGCCCTCTACTGCTTGACGGAGCCTCCAGCGCGGCGCCGAAGTCTGAACATGGTTGGAGGGCATGGTGTTCCCACGAATGAAGTCTTGGTGCCTGTCATGCGTCCAGAGGGCTTCCAATTCCTCAGGACAGATCTGGGTTTTGCTGCATGTGACATGTGCTCCTTGACTCCTTGCCTGAGGCTGTCTACTTTTGCACGCGGGAGCGCATCCCTGCAGGTAGCGAGCCTTGGATGCAGCGAGTTTGCCGAAGGCTGGCCTTGAGGTCTTGCTTGAAGTTACCTGGGGAGGGGAGGCAAGACTGTGGGCACAAAGGGGGCCATCCTGACTCCCCACTACCTGGAAAGTTGGGGTTCAGTAGGGGTACAAGGGGTACATGGGATGTACACGGGGACAGTTTGGCATGCTTGGCCATTTGAAAAAACTTGCCATTTCGACGTTCCGAGCTAGCCCTGCTGGATATTACATCTTTCCCGGACGCACGCCTTCCGTCTCCTTAGAATTGCAATTTCGACATTGCTGATTAACAAGCGTCCGGGGGCGCGGGGGGAACCTACAAAGAGGGCCTTTAAGTTAAAAGCCGGCAGTTCAACTGCCGGCATTCACGCGTGAGTTGGAATTGTCGCCCTGGAAAGTTGCAGCAAACTTGTGGCAAGGAGCTGTTTGTGTGCTACGGCTATGACCACCCCAGAGCCTATGCCTGGGTCAGCACCTTAGCACATGCAGCATGCGGCCATACTTCCTGTGGACAATGCCTTTTGAGATTATGTTTTCATATTTACACCTTTTGTGACGGGAAAATACACCTCTCTCCTCACTTTGCGCCTCCTGGCGTCACGTTATCACGCGTTTCTGAGTGCAGCCTGTGGTGGGCTTCCTGATGCCAAACCAGAGAATTTCTTCCTTTGAGGTCCAGGAAGCCAACTGCCCAGTTCGGGGTTCGCTTGTTTGATCGAACAGGGGAGCCAAGACATGCCCCTCTGAACACGACAAATACGGGGTGCCCGAGTACTTCCTTGGTTCATTCCAGCTTTCAATAGCTCAGGCTGAGCCGGATATCGCTCTAGACCAGCTCCAGCGGCAGGAGATTTGTGCCAGGCACGACTGATTCGCAATAGGTTGATCCAACATGCTTAGGCATGTTGCTATACGTCATCGTCAGAGTTTCATCGCTGTGAGGCATCCGGAGCTCAGCCCCATCTTCCCTCCAGAGGAGGAAACCGTCCGTCAGGCAGGCCACACGCACCAGTCGTGGGGGGGTGGGGGTCGGGCACACGCGAATTGCCAGGCGGAGCCTTTGGACAAGGAAGCTGCGGTCCGGTCTGAGGATCGGCCCAAAGAGAGCCACGAGGCAGGGACTGTGAGATCACTTTATGCGGCAGGGCCGGTTCAATATTGACGGCTTCCTTTGCGAACTTTGTATCCCCTGCTTGGGGTGATAGCTGCGATTGCATTCATTTCGTCTGCAGCGAGCGGAGTCGTCAGGTTGGAACGGAGGAGTGGCGCAACGACTTGTCCGACGTGGTGCTACCCACACCTGAGTACGATTCTGACTCAGACTGATGCGACAAAATAGGCCGCCTGATTGGACCGTAGGGCCCCGCCCTGTTGCAGGTATGTCAATGTGACTTAGCTTTCTAGGGGTCATCAGTTGCAGGCCTTGGGATGGGTGCCAGCGCCATGTTAGAGTCAATGTTCCAAGCAGGAATGTCCATGCCTGGAGAAACCAAGACACTGAGGGATCCCGAAAACCGAGGACCTCGACTATGTTTTGCTGTTTGTGCAGCTTTTGTACGCTTGCTTTGAAGCCAGACATTGTCGCTACGCGTTCCACTTTTCAAGCAGTGCTGCTTCCAAGCGCATGGATCAAATGGCCGGCCACAGCTGCATGTCCGAACCGAAATCTGCCGGCGCGAGTGTCAAGACACCAGCCTCCCCGCGCCTCTCAGCCCCAGGCTCGTTGCATGTCGGTGAGGCATGAAGGCAACGAAGGGCGTTGGATCTCCAAATGGTCACGACAGCCTGTGCTTGGCATTCTCGATGAAATGAAATGAAATGAATCAGGGTTTGGGTTGGGGGGGGGGACGCCCTCAAAATGCCTGCGCAAGATTTGGTCTTTACTTAGGAGACTTGGGTTCCCTCGCTCCACACGAGCATGATCACATGTTTGCACCTGGAAAATCTGTCCATGACCTGGTCCAAGTTTGTGGTCATTAACGACTTCTGGATGTTCATGTTGTTGCTATTCTTGCTGTCTTGGCAACCCTGGGAAGTACATCCTCGCGCGGGTCTCTGTTGGTCTGGCTAGCTTTAGTCCAACTCGGATCTGATTTGGGCGGAGGCATCTCTCCGTGCTTCACCATCGCTCTGTTTCTTTGCAAGTATTCTGCTCCCACGGCAACCGAAATGTTCAGCGCCCGTGAGGTGAAGCGTTTCACCATGGCGAGGACGGCAACGCTTTTTGCACCCGCCGGGGCTGACTGACTACGTTTTGCGAGTTGTTGTTTTGTTTTCTTTATTGTGCGGTATGAACAGTCTTTAGCACAGGCTGCCTACATGATGTTTAGCTCGGTCTCAGCGAGCGCGAGGAAATGCATTGTGGGTGGCAACTGGAAGTGCAACCCAGCCACCTACAAGGACAGACGACATGTGTGAACAACTTGAGTTCCAGAGACGCCAGAGACGGCCAGAGGCCAACAAATGTCAGGCACATCAGATGTCTTACAGTGTTGATTTTCCGAGATGTGGCATGATGTGAGCTTTTGTCCGACAAGCATGGGCGTCATTTTCGTTGCCTTAAGCGGAGTCAAGACCCTTTGGACGCAACGGCAGGGCGAGATAGAGAGAGAGAGAGAGAGAGAGAGAGATTGGCAGCTAGTTTCCCCAGCGAGGAATGCAATGAGCTTTTGAAGGCTTGGAAGACGCTCGGCAGTTCTGAATGTGGCTTTCACTCGCATGCAGCTGCGTGAGAGTGGATTTGTTGTCGGGGGTCAAGAAGCGGTCCCTCCACCAAGCATACTTATAGCGCAAGATTCGTTAGACTTCCGGCCAAATCTGCATGTAAGAGTCAATAGATGGAGCCCGCTTGCACGTACCAGCGACTCCACTTGTGACCCTGTACGCGCTCGCACCAAGGAAGTCCTTGAACCTGGTTGACCAGTCCAAGGTGGAGGCAGGACATTTTTCGTCAGGCAGCGGATGGCTCGCAAGAAGCTTGGGCAGTCCGGCAGGTTGTGGTGTGCCCGCCGGCGCTTTGGCTCTCTTCCTTTTCGGAGCAGTTCGAGGCGGACGGGATGTTCCCGGCATTTCCCCGCATTTTTAACCATTTGGGCCAAATGATTTCAGTTCGCTTCCTCTGAGGCGTGCGGAAACGAATTCCACCAGGGAACCCTGGCCAAAGGTCCACTGAAACCCCGGCCGTGTGCTCTTCTTGGCCCGTGGCCAACTTGGTGAGGCACGGGCCACCCATTGACACCAGTGGTGCCAGGGCAACGCTGGCTTAGGGCAGAAAGGGCATGGGTGTGTCTCAATAGGGAACCCCCATAATAGGTGGTTGTCCTCTTGGTTTCCCTTGATAACACTCAAAAAAAAAACACGCCCACATGTCCTCCCTCCGGCTGGCCCCCGATGCTGGCTGAGAACCAGTCGCCGGGCAATGTTCCCACAGGGCCTGGGCATGAAGGTCTGTGCGCAGAACTGCGGCAAGCCCCGGCCTCGGGCTGTTGAGTCGTGGATTCCTAAACGGCTACGCTGGCATCCATCTGGCTTGGGGTCAAAACCGTTTTGGTACCATTTTGGGGTAAGTGCACCACTCATTTTAGTCCATTTCAGTGGGGATTCGGATGTGCACTGAAAGTATGGGATTTTGACCCATGGCCATTTAAGTGGGAGGCGTCCGGGCACCACAATGGGTCTTTTACATCCTGCTTGCTTGTTGCCACATGGCACGAACAAGCAACCTCCCTTGAATCAGAGTTGCACGGCACCAACCACGGCGATTGGTGTCACCCCATTTTGAAGGTTTCGTGGAACAGACTGTGCCTTCAACTGGACGGTAGAGCTGGTTGGTTTTAGGCAGGGTTGACAACTGTCCAGTTTGGCAATTCGCCCGATCGTCCATGTCGATTCCCTTGGGCAAAGCGATCGGGCCATGTGGTGCAACTTGAGGGTTCCGTTCGGAACCATGTCACCGCTGCAACGCACAACTCATCAGGTTCATCCAGGTCTCACATTCCCATGCTCTCCCCGGCCCGCACCGCGTGCAGCAGTTGTCTGGCCAGGAACGATGCCGGCGCCTTTACGGGCGAGTGGACAGCCGCCAACCTGGCAGGGACCTTAGAGAGGTCCATAGATTCGGCATGTGGCTGGGTTCCCGTTCGGTTAGCTTCAGACGCCATGGGCTCAGGCACCATAGGTGCATGCCATGTTGCCCAAGGTTGATCTCGGCATCTCCTGGACCTTGCTAGGCACTGGGCCAAGCGAGGGGTTGCAGCCCCGAAGTGTCGAAGGATCGACGTTCGTGCGGCTGGGAATTTGCTAAACACTTGCGGGCTGCCTCGTCGCAAGCTTTCCCGGCAGGGGTGCACGCTGCAATCAGCGATGTTGGGCCAATGTGAAGTTCCAGTTTGGTCCTGCCATGCATCCTATAGAAGCACGCGTCGGCCCAATTGTTCAAACTGCGCACTTTACTTTGCACGGTGACGCCACTCCAGCCCTTTAGCCACCTGCAGCCTGGCGCTTAGGCCACTCGGAACGGCGGAGCCTCTACGGCGAGACGGATGCAGACGTTGCCGAGAAGGCGCTGGACCAATGGTTCAGCTTGAGTCAACTGGTTGCTTCTTGCGCAAAGGCATTTGCCATCCAACAACAGAGCATGGGCTGTTTATTGTTGTTGTTGTTTTTTGGAGAGCATCTTTTCCCTCTCATGCCCCCCAGCTGGCCAAGGTCAGGTATTCGCACCCTCCTGTAAAACCGCCATCACTTTCAAGCGGAAGAGCCCTGAGCAGCTCCAGCCCAATGCACAAATGCGTGCCTGTGTTCCGAGGGCGGTCCACGTTCGTAGCGGTGCAGTCAAACTGGCCGTGCAGCCCTGCCAGGTTGCCAAGTGTCAGGAAGCTGGGCTGAACGTGATCCTCTGCATCGGCGAGAAGTTGGAGGCTGGCTCGGGTGAACCAACTTGGCCTTGATCCTTTGCAAAGCTCGGTTGGGCGACAGGAGTCTGCGCGCAGCGCATGCCGGAAAAACGTATTGGTCCGACACCCTCATGATTGAAGGAGGTGTTGGTACATTTCAATTCACTTTTTACTGGGTTGAGCGCTCAGTGCTGACCAGGAGAGAGAAGGCGGAAAGACTGACGAGGTGCCTTGGGCAACTCCATTTGCCAATGTGGAAGCGCGAGTCTGGGTGTTGCAAAAGCTTGTAGCGAGCTCTAAGGGAAGCCTATGGCACTTCCACACTTTCCCGTTTTTCGGGTGTCTCCAAAAGGCTAACCCAGCGGGGCCCAAAGGGAAACAATGCATTTTTGATGACAGGATTGCCATTTTCAGAAACATACTCATGAAAGCAGCTGTGTTTCACACAGGTCAACAAGAGGCAGCTGGGCGCCTGCATTCCCAAGATCAAGGTGCGACCATGTCATCACTGTTGCACTGGGCTGGTGACGTTGTTTTCGATTTGCAGTCATCTGTTGCTCGCATGCCTATGTGTGATTCTGTTGGATTTGCTCTTCCTTTTGTAATTATTTTGGGATATGTTGGGGCAAGGGGTGATGTTGTTTTTTTGTTTGGTTGCCCTTCTTTGGAGGGGCGGGGGTGTGTGCCGGCTTTTTTGGGAGGGCTTGGGGTCTGCTCAGGACTGGGACAAGGTGGTCATCGCCTACGAGCCCGTGTGGGCCATCGGAACTGGCAAGGTCGCCAGCCCCGAGCAGGCGGAGGAGACGCAGAAGGCCATCCGCGCCTACCTCTCCGAGGCGTGGGGAAGGGAATTCTCCAGGATCATCCCATGGCAGCATGACACCACGACTGGCGCGGTGGGGTCGGACTTTGTCTTTTTCCCCCCTTTTTCGTGGTGAACCTCGGCACATCGGCCGCTTGACGCGGAAGCTGCGGAAACTACCTGCCAGGCAGCTGGTGCCGCGGTCGCGGAGAAGGCCCCGGAATTTTCGAGGAATGAGGTGGTCAGAACCAAAATTCGGTAAAAAACCACCCGCACCACCCTCGACGGCAGAGGTTGACCAAACTTTTGGCAGTGAGCCTGGGGTCCTTCCATTTTGGACGCAGTTTCCAGGCCAAGCCTCATGCAACAGCAGGTGTCCAGAATTCCCAGACGAGTGGGGCCGGCATCCCACGCCGGGAGGTGCGTATCCAATACGGCGGCAGCGTGAACCCCGAGAACTGCGCGCCGTCCTCAATACCTAGAAGATGCTAGAAGTTATGCAGGGGGAAGGAGAGCCAGGGTAAAGCGCCCCGGTTCGGCGCCACGAATTGGGCGGGTGTTCTTTAAAGGCTTGTTAAGCGGGTACCATTGAGGGCGGGGCACCCTTGTCGTCTTCGTTCAAAGGGAAGCCGGAGGAAAACCCCATGGGAGTTGCCCGGTTTCGGCCGTAGGCCGAGCTCATGAAGCAGCCGAACATCGACGGCTTTCTGGTGGGCGGCGCCTCTTTGAAGCCGACCTTCATGGACATCGTGAAGACGGCCGGGCCGGGGGGGGAGGGTGGCCCTGAGCTCCAGAGTGAGCGTTCGGAAATGTCCGGCGCGGCGCAGGCGGGCCCCTCAAAGATGGTGGACGTGTGGCCCCTCTACGAAGCCAAGATGGAGAAGGCGGGGCATGACAGGAGCTAGACCCAGAACCGCCCGGGCAGACGCTGTTTGCTTTTTCTTTGAGGGCTCCTGGCTTCAAAGCAATCCACCTGAAGCAAAATGCCTTCTTGCCCTGGTGGCAGGCGCTTCCCGAAATTCGGGCGAAGTAGATGCCGTGACACGCTGGAGATAAGTGAGGGCAGATCAAAGAAAGCGTTGTCTCCTGGTTTCGCAGCCTGGAGTCCCAAATGTTATTCCTGAGTTTGTGGCAAGGGCTCCCTGCAACCAGGAGGGATGCAACAAAGCAGCTATCGATGCCTTCAAGTACACCTTCGGCGTGCTTGCGTCAGGCTGGCAGCTCCTAATTCGTCAAAAAGTTCCCGCGCGATTGATCTGTGGGCCCGGAGTGACGGCAAGCGGCCGCCAGGGAAAGACGTGATGCTGCCAGAGACGAAGCTCGACCCCGTAGAGGCACGAGACCAAGTGGGGGACGTCGATGTCAGACTTGGCGTTGGGGAAGGGGAAAAAAAAGTATGGCAAACTCCAAACTGGCAAGCTGCACTGCTGAACAGGCCAGTGCAAGGATGTGGACTAGATTAGCTCGTCGTGTGTGTACAACATGAGGGCCTGTTGCAAGCATGGTGAATCACCAGCCGATCAATGCCAGCCACAATCAAATCCCGGCCGGGTAGATGAAGGTTAGTAAGGGCCAATCCCAGGCAAACATAGCTGCGGCCGCCTTCTTAATCAATTCTTTTGCATGGTTCTGGGTTCACCATTTTACTACCGGGTTTGAGGTTTTGTTTGTGGCGAGTGCTGTGGTCATTATTTTTCTTCGAAACTGTGATTGAACGAATCCTTTTCGATGCGCATATCGATTCGTTCCCCACCTTCCGAGCCCATGGCCAGTCCCTGCCGACCTTCGAGAAGCTGCGGCTGAAGCCGGACTCCAGGCAAACGAATCGAACGAATCAGACGAATCCGCGAAGCCGTTGGCCCATGAGTCTCTCATGAAACTCAGAGCCGTCATATGCCAAAAACCGGAATTCCAAAATGGAACCTTGGTAAGTGGAAACATGGAACAAGACCCGCGTAACTCCTCCAGTTTAATTTTGAGCCACAGCCATATGTGTTTGTGTTTGGTGTTCTCCTTTCTCTTTTTTTTGTGCGGAACTGAAGCATTGCAACTCATTTGTTTCAAGCTAATTTGATGCTGCACGCTTCAAAGCCCCTGTGGTTGCACCGATGGAACTGCCGGGCCAACTTTTACAGCCCATTGGGCCTAGCCGCGTACTCAATACCCAGCTTGCGTGCCTCGGCCCTGGAGGTTGTTGAAGAAGACCCTCATTCTGAAGCTCAACGGTGGCTTGGGAACTGGCATGGGTGGCTGCCTCAGGCGTGCGAATCTGCTCGGTTTCCGTACTGTCTCGAGCCACACTCTGCAAGCATTTGCTTAAGCTGCGGTGGAGGATTTCTTGCATGCTTTCTCATCAAGGCCGTGCCCTTCCAGACAGACGAACTGCTTTGTTTGTCCCAGTAAACACCGCACGCCAACAGGTCTCGGGAGGGAGCCTCGGGGTTTGCCAATCCGGGAACTGAGGCCTTGAGAAGGCGAAGTCGCTGCTGGAGGCGGGCAGGTTGGGACGCGCCGATTCGGGGCTCCATGCGTGACGCACGCCTGGGGAGAAAGAGGTGCGGATGAGTCGAGACCACAGACGCTGCGCCCGTTTCCCAACTCCAAGAGAGAACTTGTTAAGGGCCATCTGCGGCACCAAATGCAAGGAGAGAGTCGCAACGTCGGCAATGCTCGCCCTGTTGCTTGTGTTTGTGACCAGGTGACGCAGGGCAATACCTTCCTCGATCTTATCGCCAAGCAGGAGGGATCGCGTGCTGTGGCGTCGGCCGGCGACATGGCCGGAGTCCGGCCAAGTCCAGGAGTTTTGGTATGGAACAGCCAGAGAGCGCAGGAAGTGGTTGGGCAAGGTGGCAGTTCTTTGTTCCGCTGCCGGCTAGGTGGAGTGGATGAAGAAGGAGTTCAAGACTGACCTGAAGTTCATGCTCATGTGCCTCAGCCAGAGTTTCGCATGTCCACCTTTTGAACTTTATCTTGTCCCTTTTTGCGGCAACCATTGCTTAGTCGCGGCCCCGAAAGGTGTTCGCTTGGGTCCTTTCTGGGCGGTTTCTGGGCAGAGCTAGAAGCAAACGTCCGCTTGAGCCCAGGAACTCCTTCGCGACCTCTGCTGACACGTTGGGGCCTCAGAGCATTGGACAGATGTTTCAGCCTTTTGTCACAGCTTCTCACACGCTGGAGGGGGGGGGAAGGTGGCTGTGGTTCCTTGGAAGGTGTGCTTGTGACAGTGTGTTCCTGGATGGCCACGTGGGAGGTATGGCTAGCTCCCGAGTGGCTAGCATGGCTACCCCACGTGGCCGAAAAGCTGGCGACTTTGCGGCTGTGCATGACGTACCTGTCGGCGAAGGGGAGAGTCCCTTCACAAGCAGCTAGAGCAAGCAGCAGTGGGACGGTTGTGAGTTGCGTGTGACCTTTCCAGTCCCATGCCTAGCAAACAGCAAGAGCAAACGGGTCCATGCGCTCGCGTTAGGCTGGAGGCATTGAAGAAGTACACAGAGCTCGGCACCGGGCAGGGCACTCAGGGCATGGACCGCACATGAGGCAATGCGAGAAGTTCCTGAGGCTTTTGGATGCGAATGGTCTCTTGTTTTCCTTGGAGTGGTCACCCAGGTATCTCTTAATTGGTGGTTTGGTTTGGTGGGTTGGAGGTCAGGAAGTGGCTTCCCATATGCAATGAAGAAGAACCACCAATCCAAACCACCAATGAGGGCTGAATCCCAATCCAAGAGATGCCGTGTTGCTGACTGCTTTGGGTCATTGAGGTCAGACTTGGAGTTCGTGCAGAACAAGGCTTTTCCGCGAAAGGAACGCATTTGTTCAGGGTTTGCCGCAGGAGGAGTGGTAATGCCCCTTCTTAAGGATTGACGTGAATACAAGCTTGCTTTATGCTGCATGCTTTACATAGCAAAGGAAGGTTCTTCTGATACTGGGAATGTGCATGGGAGACATGGTTTGGGTGGGTTGCTTGCGATTCTTTTGGGCTGGCCATGGCTGGTCTTTCTTTGTTTATAACTTGCCTTTTACGGCTAGTTGTGCGCATGCAGCGTGAGCCAGCTTTGACTTGCGAGCTGTTCCATTTGTCATGTTACATCAAGTGTCAACGGGGTTCGAGCGCAACATGTGACCAAACAAAGAGCTACTAACTATAGGTTGCTAGCTGTTGACTATTATCTAATATCATCAATGGAACGTCAACTGTTACCAATTGCAAATCATTTACTACGAAGTAGAGTATTCACCATGAGCCATTCAGCATAAACATCCATGAACTACCCTCCCTCCCGCTAACATAGAGCCTGTGGGAGATTTGTTGGATGTACATCCTCTGGATTCCTCTGGTGACACGGGTGCCATGGGTGAGGGTAGCTGGAAGGAAGCCATGGTCCTTGCAGGCGCCCAAGGTCACGGCGAGTGACTTAAGCCCAGCCGACTGGGAGAAGGCAGGGGCCGACCTTGAGCAACAGGAAAAGACGCGGGAGCGTCAAGTTGTTTCATGGGAAACTCGTGGTGTTCCTGTTGGTTTCTGTTAAATCCATCCCAAAAAAGGGGGTGCCTTGTCAAAAAAGAGACGGATCCTTATCATTGAGGGATGCGCTTGCGCGAGTTGGATGGGCGCAATTTCCCCCAGCTTGGTTTAGTCGTCTCTTTGCGCGTGTGGATTGAGCCACGCTTGTATTCAGTGATGCCAAACAGACCAAAAGACCCAGATCAAAGAGAGCGAGAGTACAAAAGCGGCCAGCCAAACGAAAGGCCACAACCAGACATAACATAGATATATATATGATCATCTAGATGGTAGGCCTAAAAAGGCTAGATGCTTTTTTAAGCAGTTGCACGGCCCAACCCGGTTGAGAGCCATCACCTGCTTCGCTGTCAATCTTGAGCAGCTGCATTGCTGGCAGTAGTGGTCTGTGCTGATGTTGAAAAGGTCACGTGGAGCCGCTCACGTTTCGCATGCCGATTCGACCACTCGTGGGCTCATTTGTGTGCTCACAATCACAAGGTAGCGCTCTTCTTGTTGTTTGAACGCTTTGGCGTTTGCCGTCCACTGGCTGGAGTGTGCCCAAGTGGAAACAAATTCTGTTGGGCTGGACATAAATCCCCACCGAAATGATGTCCACCACAGGGTCCCCCTTGGCTGCAAGGCTGGAGAGGGCGCATCCCAAAAGAACCAAACAACAACGTATTGGTTTGGAGTTGTTATTGAAGTTTGGTAGGTGGGGTTCAACAGTTCCCAATTGAAATTCATACGTTTGAAACTGGACCACTGGCAACGCGTTTCCAGGACCACTCGCATGAGTGGTGCCCGCCTGGTCACGGAGACCTCTACCCTGCCATGCTGGGAAGCGGCACGCCCGAGCCCCGGAACAGGCAGACGGTGCCTGTGTCAACAGGGGACGCCAAAGGGTGGGTACTGGCACCCAAATGCAAACACGCAAATGCAAACGGAAACGCGTGGACATGCGCACACCCACCCACCCACTCACCCACCCACCCACCCACCCACCCACCCACCCACCCACCCACCCCCACCCACCCACCGCACGCACGCACGCACGCACGCACGCACGCACGCACGCACGCACGCACGCACCGACCGCACGCACGCACGCACGCACGCACGCACGCCCGCCCGCACGCCCGCGTGCCCGCGCGCACGCACGCCCGCGCGCACGCACGCGCGCACACACACACACACACACCCGCTTCAAAGCCGTTCAACTAACATTGGATTAAACCTTTGCATGCCAGCGGGCAAGTCAGGCTTGACAAGCTGCTGAAGAAGGGCTACAGGCGGGCAGTCAACGCAAGTAAGGTCAGCTTGTTCCTTTTAATTTAACTATCCGCGAATATCCGAACGCAATGGATCCACAGTCTACTGAGTCGGCAAGCGCACTTGGGTTGCGCAGGGCAGGGCAATGGGATTCTTGCGGGTGAGGCAACCGAACCAAACACGGCGGCCCGTTGGTTTGGGTGTGAGGTACATGTTTGTGTCCAACTCCGACAACTTGGGCGCCACGATGGACCTGAAGATCCTCACGCACTTCGTGAACTCCGGGGTCTCAGCCTTATCCAGGGAGGGATCGCAAGCCACAGTTGCTGCTGCTAGTTTGCAACACATGTGGTGCCTGTTTGGCTTGCAAAAACATGATTTTCCACCAGTAGCCGCGACTCATCAAGCTGCTACTACTACGACTACTACCACCACCACCACCACCACCACCACCACCACTACTACTACTACTACTACTGCTACTCTCCGTGCACGGTTACGTATGCAAGAAGACCAATCAAGATCATCACAAACGAACACACAAACGCGCACATACACACACACAGGCCTCTAGCCAGAGAGGTCAGTGTCCAGCCTTTGCGAGGCTCCTTTCATGATGGAAGTGGCGGAGCGAACAGATGCCGACGCCCGGCCAAATCAGTCCTGATGCCCTGATCGCTTTTGAGGTCGGAGGGCGCCATAGTTTCGGTCACCAGGTGTCAGGTGCAATGTTTCGCGCGTTTAATGGAAACCGATTTGGACAAATCTCTCACGCCTACTATGAAGCAAATCCGCCGATCTTTGCTGAAACGGCTACTTGCCATGGTTTCTCCTGATTTCGCGTTTGTTGCAACTGACCGAAAAAATCCAAGGACAAGAAGGGGGGGCACTTGGCGCAGGACAAGGACTGGGCACTGATAGCAATTTGGCGGGCCAAGGGCAGAGGCTGGCTGGCCGGGATTCTTTGTTGGCAGTGACAAAACTTGAAGCTTCTAAAGGAGGGCCATTTGCTCTTGCACTACGAATTGCGATCGAACCCAAAAGGCCGTCCTTGTTAGAGGAACCTCCACTTGTGGGACACCCTTGTTGGGTTCCAGGATGTTCCATTCCTTTTCATTAGTAGAGCTCTGAGCTATGGTCTTTGCTTTGTGCGGTTTCTGCTTTGGGATTCACGGAAGCCTGGCAGGCCAGCGGAGGACTCTTGCTGCGGGAGTCGGCGCAGTGCCCGGATGCGGATGAGAAGGTGCCGGGAGACGGGTCTGGGGATTTTGGCAGGGTTTCCGAGCCGGTTCCCTGCGAAAGCAGCAGTTGCAGCGGAACCCACCAGTAAACTTTGAAGGGGACATTGACAAATTGAGGGACCTCTGCTTGGGAGGAGTTTGGTGGCCCCGTTTTAGGGCTGCCTTTGGCGAATGAGGAGACCTTACCGTTACCTGGTCGCCAGGAGTTCCAGAACACCAGCAAGCCTCCGGCTCAGCGAGGGAAGCACGTGGGCGCTCTTTTGCTTGAAAAAAGGGCCGCGGTGCCCCCAAAAACCGATTCAATTTTTTCCCCACGTCCCTCAAAGTGTGTTCAGGGAGGCTTTGGGCCACGGATCCGAGGAGGCCAGCTGTGAAGGCCTCTTTTTTTTGGTCCCATCCGAAATCCGAACGCCTGGTGAGAGTCGGATCCTCTGGGAAAAGGTCCGGGTGCGAATTCTGGAAATTGGAGTTTTGAGGTACCAGTTTTTCAACACGAACAACCTGTGGGTCGACCTCAGCGCCCTGAAGGACGCGCCCTTGGGAAACGATACGCTCGATGTCATAGGCTACGGGCAGGTGGCCAAAAGGCACCAGCCAAAATGGCGGCTTTCCCTTTGGTCTCCATTTCAACCGACCTGAAAAGGGCGCTTTCAAAAGCACATGAGCAACAATCAAAACCCGGATAGATGAAGGTTAGTAAGGGATTATCCGAACCATGCATGGTTGGGGCCGCCTTGTGAACAGCCCATTTGCCAGGGTTCCTTTTTGGACGGATCTCTATTTTTTCAGCCGCCACCTGGCTCCGGGGCAGACAGCTTTCGCTGGTTGCGCCAGAACCTCTTCCGCAAGTTCGACGGGGCACTGCCTTTGCCGGTGATGAAGAACTCCAAGACGGTGGATCCACGAGACAAGAGCTCCACCAAGGCCGAAATTCGTCCCGTTGCCGTGAGTGCTCATAGGGGTCCTTTTTGGTGGATTTGGTTGAAAAATAGAGGGCCCTGGTTTGCCTGGTGGTTCAATCAACCACCAGGGCCATCTATTTACCCAAAAAGGGCACCAATATGAGTCGTTCTCAAAAAGAAGGTGCTCAGAATTTGGGTTCAAGGGCTTTAAAGGTTGCAAAGTGGGATGCAAGCCACCAGGTCGAAATACACAGAACAAGGGGTGCATCACCTAGCTTGAGCTGCCTTTTCCTTTACTCCCTGGGTTTTTCCCCTCAAACCGGTGCCGTGCCGCGATTTCATGAGGCCCAGTCGAGTCACGAAAGGTGTTGCAGCTGGAGACCGCCATGGGCGCGGCCATCCAATGCTGTGAGCCCCAGATCTGACCCATGCGTCCGCGCACTGGAGTCCCATTTTGGGGCTTTCCTTTGGCTGGGGGTCATCGAAGTCAGCAACTGGGTGGTTTCCCTTCAACATGGCACTCATGGGGTGGCGTTGATACTGGTAGAATCATGGGGCGGCTAGTTTCTGGAGGCATCGCCAAGCCACCCAAACAGTTTTAGGCATTCGGAAGGCTCTGGGTCCGCTTTGCAGTCTCAGGGCTTAGACAGGGCGCAGTTGCCTGCCCTCTCGCCGCCTTGCGCCGACTCCCTTGGTTTTGCTCAGGTGTGTGCCAAGAGCTTATCACTTTGCAAAAAGCCTTGGTTCTTATTTGCATGGATTTTATAAACACACGGCTTTTACCTAATTACCAAAACCCATGGAAAGTTATTGCCCCAGCGGAACTCGCGGAACCAGTCGAAGACGTCCGCTGCGAGGTTTCCCTGGGGCCTCCGCCTTGGTGATCCCCCGGTCCCGCTTCGCGCCGGTGAAGACCACGAATGCCCGGGTCTCAGCCGCACAACTTGGCACTTTTCCTCCCCCCCCCCCCCCGGAGCCACCCCAAAAGGGTATCCCCAGATATTTTGGAGGCTTGACCAAATTTCGGCTTTGGCGTGGTTTGGCTTGAGGCCGACGTTTTGTGGAACGCCAAATGGCTTGGCAGCTTACTTCGTTCTTTGCGGTTTTGGCGGAAAGGTGGGACCCCGTTGCCCGAACACACATGGGGCGCGCCAATTTCAGGACTTGCTGGCGCTGCGGTCAGATGCCTACACCCTGACAGAGGAGTGGCGACTCAGAAATGCCGTCGCTTTCGCTGTCCGAGGCCTCGTGTGTGGCCTCGTTTGTGGCATCAAGGCATGCAAGAAACATGACTGCTTGCTGATTGGTGGGCAGGGCAGTTGCAGGAAGTTGTGTCAATTGGTTCATGTGTTTTCGTTTGCACGCATACACGTGTTGAACTCTCCCCCGCAACAATTGTTGAGTGAAGTTAGCATCTTGGAGTCAGAAAGTTGCAGTTCGAGAGGCGCTGCGCAGATAGTCCATGTAGGCAACATATAACTATGTGTATGTATATTTATATATACACATATATACACCCACATTGACTCTCGAATGGGAATTCTGGGTATACAAAGCTACATGGATTGTTTGGGACTGCCGCTTGCGCGACTCAGGACTTCAGGATCGTTTTGAAGGACGAGCGGGAGGGAGTTCCTCCCGACGTGAAGCTGGACGGCATGTACAAGCGCAGGGCCCAGAACGCTTGGACGACGGATAGGCCCGAAGTGGATCCAGTCCCTTGGAACTTGCTCCGCTTCAGCCCAGAAAAGCCATGGCGCGTTTTGGAGTGAAGCCGACTCTCAGTTTGGGTGATGCTAGCCCGAAATGGCTCCCGGAACTTGGCCCATGAGAAAAAGAGAGAGAACAAGGATGTCCAGTGTGGAGTGAATCGAATTTTCGGAGGACCAGTTCAGTGGGCGAGGTTCACGGACGCCATGGAGAAGATGATCCCCAACGGCCCTCCCTCGCTGGTGGCCTGCAAAAAGCTGGTGGTGGAGGGCGAGATCTCTTTCGCCAAGGATGTGGCAGGGCGCCCAGGATTCCACCGCGTGCGTGGAGAAGTGTGTCACTATGAGGGCGCCCCGTATTTCTCGTGGTTCCCATGGAAAACCACAAGCAGAACTGAAAACCACAGTGTTGAACCTATTTTGGCTCCAAAAGAAGACTGACAGAGAAGCAAATGACAAGCCGCGGAATGAGAGTTGCACCATTGGGCACCAGGTGATCAAGGGCACCGTGACCATCAAAAACACCGGTGGTGGTTGCAAGGAGGCGGGGCCTCCTCGAAAAATAACCGCCGAAGAAGCGAGAAGCCGCCCCGAAAAAAATGTCGGGTAAGTAGAAGGAAGAGACATTGGTCACCTTTTCTGAAGCCAAGGAGTCGGCACGTAGGCCCGTTGTTGTTTTTTCCCCCAAGTTGCGCAACTCGCGTGTCAGGTTCCCAGTGGCACCTACGAGGACACGGTCAAGGACCGTAGACAAGAGACAGCAGTGGCAGCAGATCTTGCCCAGACCTCTTGTCAAGTTGCACGTTTGGGCTTGATGAAAAGCTCTGAATCGGAGCTAACAGCTGGGTCCATCGTTGCCAGGAGCTTTGAGTGAGCCGCGTGTAGATGGGGCAGTTGACAGCTGGCTGGCAGAGAGTTACCTTGAAGGACATCTTGGGACATCTTGGGACATTGTTTTCAGGATTTGTTTTTTTGTTCTTCTTTTTCCGGGGATTGTTCTTTTGCTTTTACCCGGCCTGTTTCTTTTTGTTGTTCTTCTTTGGCTTTTTGCGAGTTTTCGGGGTGGCTTTTGGTGGGGCCACAGCCTCCGCGTCACCAGCTAACAAGCAGTATTGCTCGTAATCGCCATCGCAATTTTTTGGCTTTCGATTGGTCACCCAGGTTGGTGGCTTGGATTGGTTTGGATTTGAAGCCAGAACCCCTCCAGTCCAAACCGCCAGTTGGGGAGGGGAGGGGCCCAGGGGGGAGGGGGGAGGTTGCGGCCTGCGCCTCCGCGCCTCCCCCAACCCGGGGCCCCGCTTCAATCCAGCGCGAGAACTGAGGCAAACCCAAAACCCTGAAAGCCAAAAAGTATCCGAAGCCCACCCTAAACCCACCTTTCGGACCAGACCATCCTAAAGAAACCCCAAGCCTTCCCAGACTTGAAGCCAAAGCTATTTGGTGCCGCGCAGCTCTGGTGCAAAGCGAGTGCATGTTGTCAGAATGTGGACACCAGGAGTGACAACAAACTATGAACAAACACATAATTAGATCTCGACCCGTTACCTTGCACTCGCACCATTGTTGTCACAGCAATGTAGATGTGTTGGTATGATGCGCCATGACATTGCCGATGGCCAGTGCTTGAGCCACTTGCTCCCCAGTTTTCATGTTGTACTTGCATTTTGTTGCGAGAAATCGCCAGCATTGCGGTTGCAAGGGATGATTCTGAGGTGCCCGCTTTGCCTCGGATTTGCTTTCTGAGAACTTATGCCGTCTTCTCGTGCCTTCTCCAATGGAGCGTTCATCTGGTCGACGGATTGCACGTGCGGGTTCCAGCAAGCTTCATTATTCGGAGATATTCCGGGTGCGTCCTGCTACACCGTTTGCCAAGTCAAGTCAGCAGCCCATGCTTTGCCAAGAGGCAAGTGTTTAAAAAACGACGAGCGCTGACGCGCCTCCAGGCAACAAGCCCTGAATCAGTTCATATCGGCAAGGTTCCCTTTCTCTATCCTGGCAAAACCGGCGTCGGCCTACAAAGCTGCAAGGGGAACCTTGCTATTTTCGCTACAGCAGTGCTGCTGCCATCAACCTGCCACGCTTGAGGCACTTCGTGGTTTTGTCAGATGTTCAATGCTTGTGTCAGATATTGGTGTGCACGTGGCAGACACGTTGGCATGTCAGCCCAACAAGTGATAGACCAAGAAGCCCGCGAGTCTTTCCAATTGAGACAAAGCACAGCCAATGCCAGATGTTCATGGTTTGCTACTTTGGCACGGTTCGGCTAAGTCGAAACACTGTGTTCCCTGAGCATGTGCTGAGGTTGTTCATGACATACTGGCAGAAATGAAGCAAATTGTTTTGCTTTCCCATTTTGCACTTGCCCGGGCATGGTCAACCCCTTTTATGCCACACACAGTAGAAACTCCATTTCATGTTTCTCGAACTTATTTTCCCTGCGCCGGGTACCGGGCAGGTGCTTACTGTCGTGCAGGCAGGCAGGCTCCGTGAGACGGATGTCGGGTGCCAGACCGCAGCTTTTCACAGCCAAGCTCAGCGCGGTTTGGCCGGCGGCGTGACACTATGAACTTTTTAGCCGTCGGCGTCGTGATCTTCATCTCGTTGCACGTCACCTTGCTGCGCGACAGTTCGCGATGGACCTTCGAGCAGCTCCGGCAGCTGGCGCCGGTGGCCGCAGCCACTCCAGAGCAGCGGCTGCGCAAGGAACAGCGCCTCAGAGGAAAACTCAGTTGCCCAGTGGTGCCCCTTTTTCCCCTTTTGTTGGGAAAGTGGATTCCGCCCTTTTTCCCCCTTTCTTTGGGGGGGAAGGGTTAACCCTTCAAACTCCAAGCAAAAAAGGATGCCCTTTTGTTCCCCTCCACTGGGCATGTGAGAAAAGCGAGGGAGTTGTTCTGCTAGAAGCTGGAAAATTGAGAGAAGCTTGGCCTTTGCTCATTGAAATCACACGGGTTTTCTTGTGGCGCGAGGCCGTAGGCTTCCAGCTGGTTGACAAGTACCCGAATGCAACTGCTTCGGGTAGAAACTTCGTGAAAGCTGCCAGTCCAACTGAGTCCATTCGATGGACAGACGCAGTGGACATTTGGGCGAACCTCAAAAGATGTCCATCCCACCTTGGAGCTGGATGGCATTTGTAGCAGAGGTTGACTCAACTGATCAGGCCTTGTTGGGCACTGCGTGTGTCAATCGACCTTGTCAGAACTAAACATCTGAGTCACTTAAAGAACAAAGACGGTGTTAGGCAAACATCACGCAGTTGTTTGACAGTGTCTTTGTGGAAGGCTGACATTCAGCCAGGGCATGGTGTAATTGTTTGCCTCCCTTTGCCTCTCTTTATCTTCTTCGCTTCTGGAACCGAATGCCTCAGCTGGATTTGGTTTTGCGAAACGTTCCCCTAGCTCAATCTTCTCCGGGTGCAGGGGCCGTTTGGGTTGCCGAGCAGTCACGGCCGGTCACGGCAATAGAATCTTATTTGCACTTGCTTTGTTGCGATCCGAGGATTCGCGCCGGCATGTCGGATGTGCGGAAAAAGAGCTACATAATTTGCGCTAGCATTTTCGTCCACCTGGTGCCACTGCACCCAGTACAGTTCATATTGTTCGAGAACAATGGCAAGGACGACGCGCCAAAAGTTGCCATCAAAGTGGCAATGTTGGCGGGCATGTACTTGCAGCATTTGGTGGTGGCAGCAGGCTTTTTCAGACCGAATCACCGACAAGTTCGATGGCTGTCCTTCGGCATCTACCTGTATTTCACATGCTTCCTCGTTATGACTAGTCCCAACTTGTTGGATGGCAAAGAAGTCCTACAGGATGCCTTGACAAACGTCAAGTATGCCGTCATCTCCCGCTTCTTCTTAGCCATTGCATCTCGGCTCGCACTTCATGGAACCCGGGGTAAGCATAAAAGGATAAGGCCTTGACAAGTCAAGGGATAGCGCCTTCCCAATAGCCCCGTAGGACTCCAAGAGGTGTTTCCGAATGCGTGGCAGGGTTCCTATTAAACAGGAGCTAATGTTATCATTTTCCCAAAAGAAGGGGCCTGGGGGTCAGCATGTGTTCGCGAGAGGCGTCGCGTCGTTGGGGAAGGCTCGGAATGTGCGACTTGCAAGCGGTTGTTTTCCTCGCGCCCGTGCGCACATCGCAGCTTTTGCGCCTCTGCGTGTCTTCTCTGCGCAGCCGCAGTGTTTTGGAAGGTTGCGCGTGGTCGCCACCGAGCCATTGCACTTTGCGTCTCAAGGGTGGGCAAGCGCTTGCACGCGCTTGCGCGAGTGTTATTTCGTTGGCCCCGTCGCGCAATCCGCTCTTTTTCGTGAGCTGAAAGAAAATCGGTCAAAAATCGTTCTGGTCCCCTTCTAATTTCTGAGGTGCGCCGCCATAACACGCCCGAAGCCGTTTTGAGCAGCGGCAAGGCTGCAACGCCAACCCAGCAGCAAGGCAGGTGCTGAAAAGCATGGGCCGCGCGAGAGGGCGCAAGGGTGAGAGGCAACGAATTAAAGTATTCGAAGAGAAACTAGGGCGGCCGAGGTTTCGTCAACCTGGCGGGCCCCATAGCAGGCTATAGCAAGCAAACTTAGTTGAATGGCGTCAGCTGGGTGCCGTTGGGCTACGCTCCGCCACTTCGAGTTTCCGTTTCCTCAGTGATGGTGCCATGGCGGCCAAGGTTTTCATGGACACTGAGCTGGCGGTGGGAGGCCAGCTGCTCATCTCGGCGGTCGTGGTGTACACGCAAAGCTCGGTGCTGCCGCTGGCCGCCTGCATTTTCGATGAGCTCAACATCTACTGCAGCATCATTCTTCTCTCCATGATCCTCGAGTTCCTGCTGCAGTCCAGGGTTCAGGCCGCAAGCAAAAATTGGCAAAACACGGCGAAACCACAAACCAAATGGAGTTCAATTCGGCAACAGCCCGTCAATAGAAGCCAGTCATTTCTTGAGCGCTCTTTTCATTGTGCGTTTGTGTGTGTTCGCGCATATGCGACTGAGGCCTTGTTGGATTCGGCAGAGGCGGAATCCATGCTTTCCAGCTTCCGGCGTATGCTGCGGGGTGTTTGCGATGGGGATATCCTTTTAGACAGCAACCTGCAGATCCAGGGGAGCCCCGCCACTTGGGCGAAGCTGTTGGCGTGAGCCCAGAGATGAATCAGTTGAGTTGAGCCAGGAACAGTCGGGTCAGTGAAGATGAGAAATACTGGGCAGTCCAGGCCATAGATATTGTGTGGCCGGCTTTTTGCTCCGAAATTCTTTGCGTGCTTTTGGGTAGGCCACTTTGAGACTGGTGTTGATTACGCAGTGGCTCTGACATTCCAAGAACTGAGGAATGTCTGAAGCACCTCTTGATGAGCACGGCGGACATGAGCGGAAAGGACTTCAACCGCTTGATCGCCTCGGATGAGGAGGAAAGTTTTCAGCGATTCATCGCTTTTTCCACATCCACGGCCAAGAACAACAGCCAGGCTGACCGCCACGCGCCGCCCTGCCTGCGCTTGTCTTTGCGAGGTTCCATGGACATGCGTGTGGCCGTGGACATGTTCCACGTGCCGCTGCCAAACCCATCCGGGGCAGAGGAGCCGTACCATTTGCTGGCCGTGCCTTGGACGGCTTCAGGTGGGGCATGCACCAGGCATCACCTGTGTCACCCAGCGGTTCTGAACAAGCTTTTGCTTTCCAAACCCAGCTGGTTTCTTTCAAAGTCTCCTGTTTAGCTTGGATCTCAGATTGAAACCTGTGGCGGGTAGTTAGCACAGTTGCAGTCGTTTAGTCTCTACCCCAACACTTTTCTTCCAAGCCTTCCCCTCACGGCATCTCACGGCGCAGCCTCGCTCCCTCATTCCCAGCGCTTGCATGCCGAGGCCCCTGGCACTCCATGCGCAAATCGAAAACTGTTTTGACTAAAGTAGATGGCAGAAGTTCCCAACCAATACGGGTGGAGTCGGGTTGGATGACCCCAGTTTCGGGGTGAAAGCGAGTGGAGCTGCCAACTTGGGGAAGACCTGGCCCCCAGTGAACATCCCAATCCAACCACTGAAATAGGAAGCCTAAAATGGGTGGTGCGCCTATCCCAAAATGGGATCCCACAACGGTTTTGAGCCATGGCCTCGTCGGAACGTCGAGGTCCGTGAGGACGCGGAGAGCCGGGCACCGCAGACCGCGCGGCACATCCCGGCGCCTGGGGTGGTGCCGGTGCTGCCGCGGCAGACGCCAAGTACCGGGTCTCGCTGCTCGGGCGATTCCATGTGTCTTCTCCCAGCCGGGAGTGTACCATCTGGGATGTTCTTGATATTTTTTTTCCAGAATTCCACTCCATTTCCTCCCAGAGATTCCTATTGTTCGCCAAACCAGGCTTTACGTCGGCCACTTGCGGCTCAAGTTTGGTGCACCGGATCGATGGGCGTTGTCGGCTTCCTCGCGGTCTGAGGCAGCTCCAAGTCCTCGTCCTCGTCCTCCTCGCATTCTTCGAAGAGCTCCGCGAAGAGCTGCGCTTGGCCGCTCGAAGCGGTCTAAACAGTTGCCCCCCCCGGTCCGGACCTCCGTCCTACGACCCCTAGGGATCCTTAGGGAGCCGCGGGCTGCGCCCCTTCAAAACTTAGGAACTTTTTGGAAAAGGATAGGCGCTCCCCACACACCGCTTCTGGTTTTTTTCAGGAAGGGAGACGTGTGCCCGCGTGCAAATCAATTGCAGGTGTGCCCAGTTGGAGTGGGGGGGAGGTTCATGGCCACTGAAGGCAGAACTTCCCTGAGCTGGCGGAGATGACCCTCATGGTGAACGTCAGGACCCCGCAGCACAACGTGGAGCAGGTGACGCTAAGCTGCGCATCTCCCATGTTCAGCCTGAGGAAGTCGCTCAGCAGAGATTGAGTGAGTTCTTGCCCTCTGATTTGCGCAAGTGTTTTACTGGTTTTTCGCTGGTTTTGAACATCGCCTTTCGGGCCAAAGCGAGCTTTCTTTAAGTGGGGTGATGCAGGGTGAAGTCTGCCGGGCTAAGGTCAGCTAACCGTACTTGCATGGGATTGCATGGCCTCAGGCGGACATGGAAGTCTTGGTTTGTTTCAGGAGTGAGGCTGGCTTTGAGTTGTGCAACGGATCGGATCTGAGGCTTGCTCAGCCAACAGATTGGGAGACCATTCGGAAGCTACTCGAGAGCCGTGCAGATCAGGCGAATGCGACCTTGTGGCTGTCGGGGCTAGGGTATGCGATGAACTTGTTTGCGGTGCAACTAGCATCGTAAGATGCTTTTGCCTCCTGTGTGCAACGCGTGTTTTTTTTTTGTTTCTCCCTCCTGGGCCAGTGGACATCAAACCGTATCCGTAGTCGTCCACTCTCCGGCCTTTGCGCATGGCAAAGGTGAGCCGCTTTGCCAGAGATGTGTGCAGGCAGAGAACGGTCTACAAGAGAGTGGGCCAGGGTCAATCAAGAAGTTGCAGTTCCGTAGCTTGGCAGGAGGGGCTTGTGCGAATTTACGCTCTCGACTTACAGTGCCGTATGTAGTGTGTGTATGTGAGCATGCAACGCAACTCAACACAACGAAATGCAATGCAACACACTGCAGTGCTGCAATACAATGACAACGTGTTCAATCCATGCACAAGGTATGTGTTCATGAAGGTATGTAGTATGTAGTATGATGTATGTGTGTATGTATGTAAGGTGATGCAATGTAGCATTGCGATGGGATGTAACGTGATACAAAGTATTGTAATTCCATGCGAGGCAATGTAATGTATTGTAGGGTAACGGAACGTACTTTGATGATGTAATATGTAATGTAACGACATGAACATGCCCATGTATTGTTTTAGCTCGGCAATGTTTTCACTGAGGACGGTGAAAGCCCCATGCTTGATTGCTGAAGCATATTTGGGATCAAGATCCCCTCAAGAAGCCTGTAGGCGCATGTTTCCTGATCAGGCTCACTGGTCAGCCGTTTTTTTCTCTCCTTTTTTTCTTGCACGCTCGATCAGTTACAACGACCTTGAGCAGGCCTCTGCCAGGTCTGACAAGTCTCAGGGTTGAAGCCCACCGTGCTCGGGAACCCTGTCAGGGATCACAACCTTGTCCGAAATTCCCGTGAAAACGACGTGCCCAATTTACATAGCGTGCCAGCAGGCTTCCCGCGCTCGCGAGCTCAGCGTAGAACATGTGCGGTCAACATGAGCCCGTTGGATGAATGTTGTTCTTCAAGACTCTCTCTCAGAGATGATACACCGCGATACGCCGTGCGCCTGCTTTGGGCGTGGCTGAAAACCGGCTGCTTCCAGGGATAAGATTCAGCAATCAATATTCATCAGGTCCCACGGCTGTCAGCTCGGAAGGGGCATGCGCCAAGGAGTTGTGGGTTTGCATCGAAAGTGCTCGGCTTTTGCTCGGCTTTTGCTTGGGTTTCGTGGCTTCGTAAGGCAGTCCCAGCGGCGAAAAGCTGTGCGCAAGGGATGTGGAAGTCGAAGCCTGCCGAGCGCATGGAGCTTGGAGGCGGGGCTGGTCAGGCAATGACCACCCGTAAACTATCCCTTGTGGTTTCCTTTAAGGGAACTTCCGGATCATTCCCAACACGCAGGGTTTTTCCAAGCTGAGCCCCAGCAAGTTGTTTTTTGGTCGTTAGTTGTTGCAGTGATCTTGTTTGCCAGCTCCTTGGTCGCGCGCCTAATGTCAGGCTGCTGTACCTAGCGTATTGTTCCTTGCGATCAGACAGACAGACGGACAGGCCGATCTGGACAGAGATCGAGACAGAGGCGGAGACAGAGACGGACACAGATACGGAGACAGACACAGACGCACAGAGAGAGGCACACACACACACACACCTACACCCACACCCACCCACACCCCCACACGCATACACGCACACGCACACACACACACACACACAGAGGCAGATGCACGCAGAGACAGACACCATGTTGGCGGGTGTAGTTGTTCCATGTGCTGCTGCAGAGCAGCAGCATACCTGAACCCCCCCTCCCCACACAGGATGCAACAATCAGATACTCGGCCAGTGTAGGGAAGACCGAAGACGCAGTTAATTTCGGCAGTGCGGTTCCTCTGCACTTGTTCAAAAACGCATGTGTGCTTTCGTGCCCGTGTCAGCGTGTGCAACTACAGTTGCACCAATAAGCCCGTGTCGAATGTCCCCCTCGGATCCCTGGAAGCATTTGCGGAATCTGCACCCGCGAAAGGATCCGGCTTCGCCTCACCAACTTCGAGAAAGAGCGCCACAGGTCTCCCATGCAGGGCATCCACGAAGCGCCGTGAGCGTGTGGATTTTCGGCAGTGTCGTTTGCCCCTTATTGATCGAGTGGTACCTTGGAGATTCGCCTGGTAATTGAGTTCCGCAACAGCCTAGGACCTAGAGAGTCAGGCTAGTGCTGCGCTTGACGATTGCCTACGCAAAAGGATCGTCATCTCGGTCGCAGCTCCGTGCGCTTGGGCTCCATGTTGGCATCGGATCCCCTTTGGCCACCGAGCCACCGGTCGATATCCTTCTTCTTGCCGACGGCTTGTGGCTGTGGGCTTGTCAAACGGCTCTGAACGACCAGCCGTCGTTTTCAGTGCTGCAGCTCTTTCCACCCCGAGGTATTCGTAGGGTCGGAGGGCTCAGCAAAAGTTTTAGCCATGGAAGTCAAGCAAAGCTTGGCCGCGGGCATCTTGACTGCTATTGGGTTGGATCTTTCGACTTCAACTTTTGGGGCAACCAAGTGGGGTTTTCCACTAAACCCCCAAAAAGCTAAACTTTTTTCAGGGGTCGTTGCAGCAACCAAGGCATCTGCGGAGCGATCTTCGTAGTGGTGCACTTCCAGCTGCTGCACCCGAGCCTTCGCTGGATCTGGCAGCAGCTCCGCCAGCTGATGCCCGCAGATGCCGTGACGCCGGAGCAGCGGCTGCGCAAGACCCGGCACCCTGGGCCGCATTTAATGCACGGCGCGGGGGCGCCCTGAAGATGAGGCATCCTCTTTTTTGGCGTTCCAAGCATTCGCCAGGTTCCATGGAGGCAAGCTTGCACTACACCTTTCGTATTCGAACTGGTCTTTTGTGCGGCAGCTGCGAAGGCCACGAGGCCAAGAGTATAACAATCATGGTCGTTACTCTCCTGCTTTTGTGAAAAGTGGTTTCCAGCCTTCCTCGCGGTCTCGCGCAAAGTCTGGCCACAGGGCGTCAACAGGCAGCGTGCCATCAAGAGAGGTGCATTTGCAGCTAGAGGGCTGTTCAGCTCATGTCATATCTACTGCGCAATTTAATGTTCCAGGTTGTGACATTGAGCGAATCGCAAGGGTAGCCCACCA